AACCTTCTGATACAAATAATTCAGCTAGTACAGCTAAAAGAGTTTTAGTAGGAATTTTTACAAGTATAACATTATTTATAATTTTAGGTTTATTATTTTGGTATTGGAATTCAAAAAAAGCAAAAAGTTTGAAAAAAATTTCAAAACCTCCATCTGTTGATGATGATGATTCAGCACCAGATCAAATGACAGTTCATCATCCTACTCCAGGAAGTGGAGTATCAGTTTCTTCTTTACAGAATAATTCTGATCCTGGATCATATTATCCTCAAGGTCGTTCAGGTTTATTTCCTCCTCCTGGTACTATTAAACATCCAAGACCTCCACAACAATATTCTCCTTCTCCTCCAAGATTACCTCCACAACAATATTCTCCTGCTCCTCCTCCTCCACAACAATTTTCTCCTGCTCCTCCACCACCACAACAATACGCACCTGCTCCACCACCACCACAACAATATGCACCTGCTCCTCCACCACCACAACAATATTCTCCTGTTCCTCCACCACAACAACAACCATATTATAATGCTCCACAATTTAATAATCCTCGTCCTCCTCCTCCTCCTGCACAACAAGGTTATTTGCCTCCACAACCACAACAACCTCCTTATCCACCATATCAACAACCTTATTCACGTCCACCTCCTAACAGGAGTCCTTATCAACAACAACCACGTCAACCTAGGACAAATTCCCCTGGTATGGATCCTGCTTATCCAAGAAATACTTCCCCTCCTCCTAATAACTATTATAATAATAATCCAAATAATTATTATGGCGGTCGTATGTAACTAAAAAAAAAAAAAAAAGATAATGGACAATTTTTTTTTATATACATAGTTTGAAAAAAAAAATAATTAGAAATATAAATATATAATGGGTTAATGGGTTATTGTTTTAAAAATTATTGTAATTTTATTTAAAGTTTTGTATAAGTAATTATTTGGAGATTCATCATATTCAATTTGTACTTTTATCACTATTGAGAATGAAAAAAAAAAATTGATAGTAAATAAATCATGATATAACTTATTTATAATAATAATAATATATTCAGCGATGAAATTTAATGGTATAATTCGATTAGTGATCGATTTTTCCTGAACTAATGGTTTTGAGAGTATAATTCTAGCAATTTAATAATATTTATCACTTTTAAGGATATCTAGGATATTTTTAAGGACGAGATCAATTATCTATAACGTCGAAACGAATTACTATCATAGTATGATGAACGTGATGGGTTCATTTTGTAAGGGGATATAATTGAAGTTTTGATTCTCCAGATGATCTGTCTTGAAATCATAAAGATAATTGAATTCAATTATCTAGATCAAATGATATATTAACTTTAAAAATTTTTTTCTTAGATTTTTAATCAAAATCTTTGCTTTTTCACGTGATGTTAATAATGATAAATCAGATTGATTGCGTAAAAATTTAAACAATAATGTAATAATGCAATATAAATGTTGCAATATACCGTAATTTTTATATGCAGTACATCAATATTGATTGAAATTTAAATTAAATCCTTCAATTTTTTTTTTTTGTAATTGTAACTTCAATAGAACAACAGCAACAAATGCAATTAATATACAGCCTGATCGTACATTATTTTATTGATGTATGATATTAATATTTTTCATAGTATGATCCTCGATTTCATCCAATTTCTTCTATGTTGAAACAAAGATTATTAGCGAATTTTAATTAAAAGCACGTGATGATCTAAGAATATACAGTATTACTGTATGTATGTATACCTCGGATAACAGATTATTATTACTAAATAAGAATGGTAAATATCCTATTAGTATTCCACTCATCGTACAGATTGTACCAAATAAAAAACCTAGGATATGTGATATGTGAAATTTTAGTTTAACATATTCTCATTAAATACTAAATATTTATTAGTTAGTACTTTACTTTTTTTAGTCACGAAAGTAAAATTACGCACTGGACGTGTTTGAAGATTTCGTAAATGTATTATTCTTGGTTGATGAGTTATTGATTGAAAAAATCGAAACATTTGAGGCATTTGAGACATTTTTTAAAAGAGAAAAAATTATTTTTTTTTCAATTATTAATTTAACGAAATTTATATGAAAAGCGTAAAATATAAGTCAATAATGCAATATTTAATATGAGTCAATAATAATCAAAAATTAATGATTTTATATATATAAAATACGCGTCAGTCGCGTCATGATACTTTTTTAAAATTAGAAGGAATTATGAGTCATAAGGAGTCATCTTTAATGCTTAAAAAACATCAATATAAATCACACAATTTTTTTTAAAAAAAACAAACTTCCTTTATTTAATAAAAAATAATGTATAAAATTTAAAATAATACAAAGATTTTAAAAAATTCAAATTATTCTTCCTTTTCCTTATCTTCTTCATATTTAAGTAATTTTATATAAATGAATTTTCCAATTATGAAAAGAACCCAAAAAATTCCAGCCACAATACTAACAACAATTGCTAAAGCGGCAGCATAAACATCCAAATATTTTCCTCTAATAAAACCCATCCTAGTATCTGGAGTAATAAAATCTTTATACAACCATTTCTCAATTCCACCTTCATCACTTACATTCTTTTGTTTTAATATTGAAGAATATAAAGTATATTCAATTAAATCAGCGGCTCTATATTTTCTTTTACTATTAATCCTTGCTAAGGTTTTAAGTCTTTTTATATTAGTTTGTATTTGTTCATCTTTTTGTATTCTTTCAATTTTATATAAAATATCATTTACATTAATATTAAGTTTGTCTAATTTTAAACCTACACCAGCTAATTCTAATTTTTCGGCTGTACCAGGTTGATCAAAAGTGATCGGTAATGCGAGTATGGGCGTTCCAGTATATAATGATTCATAAACACTTCCAGATCCAGAATGACTTAAAAAAAGTTTTGTATTAGTATGATTTAATATTGAAAATTGAGGTGCAAATGATTCCATACGAATATTTGGATTCTTATTATCAAATATATCGGAAGTAAAAATAATTCTTCCATCTGAAAGAGTTATATTAGATGGAAATGATTCTTGATTCTTTTTAATGTTTGCCCAAATTACTCCATCAATAATGTT